GGTGGTGCACTCGAAATGGTGGTGCGGTAATCAGGACCATGACGGGCTGCTTTGACCTAATGGCACAGACACGCATACACACGGTAGACTCGTGAAACATTCAAGGCAATGCTTATCAGCTGAGTTTGCAGTAAGGGACTCTAGTACTAGTGAACCTACCAGGACACAAACACACACGCTTACTACACAGCACACTTTGGTCGTAGCTCTACTTGGACTTCATGAATGCGGTTAGGTGCGTGACCTGGAACCAGTTTAATAAAATACTTTCATCAATTGACCCTTCAGTCATATTTTGTAAATTAGAAATCAATGAAAAATGCAGTTTAAAATGTTTTATGGAATTGGCCATTAGCTTCTGGGAATATGGGCACCGTTTCATGTTCTCGCGGAAGTGATGGCCAAAAATTACCCTCTAGGGTAATCCTCTGAGAGCTCCCTGCGATTTAGGCCCTTCCACAAGCAGTCTCTCAGTGGGTGTTTGTGGGTGTACCACTGTGTCTCTGTAGAAATGTCCATGTCTGTATGCTTGCCTGCATGTTCACGTGTGCCTCTCTGTGTGCATCTGTGTGACAAAAACAGGCAAATCCATTAGATGAAGTCGTCTTCCCAGTGGCAGGGATGAGCTGCACACCACAAGGTTTTACTTCACTTTATTCAGCATCATTCACCACATGAATTCTGCCACATCCTCTATAACAAAAACACACATCCACATCTATCTAGAGCCAATCCCTAAATGGCTTTACAAATCCGTTAACAGCACACATACAAGAGGCCCAAATCGAGTCTCTTTGTTAAGGGTAACATTATGTGCTCGGTTTATTTGTGATTGTAATACGTTTGTGCACACGTGTATATGTGCATGAATGCCCATGTTGTGTCTTTGGCATGTGTGTGTGCAGAAGTCTTGGACAAATTCAAAGACAGAAGACAGTGCAGGAACGTCGAGAAATATGAAACTCAATGAAGTTATTATTTCAAGATTCGTTCTGAACGAAATGGCCCTTCCAATAATGGCTACGATGACATCAACGACCACTACATTCCGGTAAGACTCTCCAATATGGGCCATGCTCATTGCAACTAAATCATGCATTCCACTATAAAGCACAACATCCCTTACACGCACGTGTATACCTAATATGTTGCTCATGATTTTCTATGTGAAGAACACTTAAATGTTAAGCGACTCATGTCCTGGTTTGGACATTTTCAGAAAGGCTCTCCTGGTGCCACAAAGCAACTACAATTTTTTTTTGAATTTGTATCGATGAAAATGTTCTGGCCTAATGCTCAACTCTTGATACGACCAAAAGGTGGGGCTACCTGAGTAGTGGGTGGGGTTGGCATAGCCTATGAGTATAGTATGCAGGGCATACAGAGTGAGGCCACTAACTGTGTGGGTGGAATCCGGGAATTGAATGAACATGGCTATGTAAAAGTGAACGAGGCTGAAGGAGAAAGGGCCTGAAATTTGGCATCTGTGATTTTGGTTTTAAATCTAGATTTAACAGTGCATCGCTCCAGTGGCTTCCTAATATCGGAAGGAAGAGCATTCCAGACAGCAGCAGAAGTGCATCTCGAAGCGCGCGATGTAGTGACTATCTTTGTCATCCAGCTCTGAGAAAAAAGCTTCAAAAATACAGATAAAGGACATTCTATAACCCACACTTTGCATAGAATGATTTAGTGGTTTCCAGCGTGAGGCAAAGATGTATTTGGCAGAGACATCAGAGAGAGCTCAGACATGTGCATGAGTGTGTGAATGTCAAACCAGTGACTGATAAATGAGAACTTGAATGAGCCGTGTGTTTAGACTGAGTAATGTTTGAGCACTCAGAGAGGGCCCTGGTTGAGTACTGAACACTTGTGTAATCTTGTTCCAGATCACGGATGAACACTTGGTGTACCGCTTCCAAGTACTGAATGTGATTGGGAAGGGGTCCTTTGGGCAGGTACTCCGATGCCTGGACCACAAGACGAAAAAAGAAGTGGCCATCAAGATGCTAGCGAACACTTCTACGTAAGTTTGAACAACGACATGGACCACATTTTAAAAAGATCTGAATTCGTGAAGAGAACCATAGCTTGTAAGAATTTGTGTTAATTTACACATTTCAGAGGAAGTCTAAACAGTAATAATTTTAAAGTTGATTTTGTTTAACCTCGTGAGAACTGAAGATACCATGATGAGTCTCATTTGCAAGAGTGACTTGGAGCATTAATCTGCCAGTAGGGGACAATGATTGCTATGTTGCACAATACAAATTGAGGGATTTGTGGTGTAGGTTTCGATATTGGCAAACATTGTACCCAGTTACAAGCACACAGTGGCATACTCTTGCAAATTACGTCAGGTGATCTTTAGCATCCATCGAAGCAGACAGCATGCATTATGGTTATACACCCGCAGTATTAATAAGAGCGGCCACTTGAATCGAACCTTGAACCTCTGCAACGAGTGGCGAACGTGCTGCTGCCGGGTCATGTATCCATCTCTATCAGAAGCTGTTGTTTCTGTATGAGTTTATAATTTCATAAATGTCATCAAACACCATCAAAATAATGTTTGATTTGTCATGAAGAGGCAATATGTAATTTGTATGGTGCCTGCCACGTGAACGTGGCGATCAAACCACTGACCAACAGCGTGGGTGAGTGCTGCCCTTTTGCTCATTATATTCTATTCTTCTATATGGCAACATGTTCAGGCACTAAATACCAATGCCAAGGTCTGCTAGCCACAAGAGGTCTTCAGGAGAGATTTTTGTTTTACTTTTGCAATTCCACATTAAAGCAGCAAAGACTACATTGGTTGACAATATCGTCCACAGTTTGGGTTGGAGCAGCAGGACACTTTCTACCTTACTCGCTTAACATAGCTCAAAAACTACAGTGATCATAATCCAGTGGTGCACAATTTTCACCTCACTGAGATGGGATGCGGTAACTCCTTCGAGTAACGACCATTGACAACTTCCCAACCAATTGGTGCAGCTTCCCCAGTTGGCGCTGATTACGTCGACCGGGCAGGGACGATGTCGACGTTGACCGGGATTAAGCGCTCATAGCCATGATTCTGGAGCTCTGTTGACTGAGCCATCCCATGTGTGTGATAATGCCTAAAAATATGCAAGACTTAAAGAGTGGGGTGAGACTTATCGATGCATTCCCTCCACAGCAACAACATTCAGAAATGCAGAATGGAGGCGCATATCATGAATGCGTTGCAGTCCAAGGACACAGAAAATAACTGCATTATTAGATTTCTCGGACACCTTCTGTTCAGACGTCATCCCGCCTTCATTATGGAGCTCATCACGTAAGTAAATATCACATATGTGCGCCAGCATCGTGTTTATCTCAAGCAAGTTTTTAAAACGTGCAGATAACATTCGCTGAATTTCAGATAATTTTTTTTTTGTTTGAGCAGGTGAGAACTTAAGAGACCAGGATGCATTATTCTTTGGTTCTTTCGGTAAAGTCACGTGACTTTACCGAAATAACCAAAGAATAATTCCTGCAGTCACGAAAGCTCCAAAATTAAGATTAGACCAGGATGCGTCTCATTTGCAACAGTGACCTGGGGTATTAGATTGCCAGTAGGGGGGGGGGGCGATGATTCCTAAGTTGTACAACGGCAATTAGAGTAATTTTTGGGTAATTTTCGAATTTGACATCGGCTGTGAGACAGACACGGTGCGTGCTATTATTAGAGCTGCATTAATCAGGGAGGCTGCTGGATTCGAACCATGAACCTCGACGAAAGGCGGGGATCCTACTGCCATGAGGCCATGTCACCACCCATCGGAATGTCCCAGCCGTTTTATTTTAAGGCTTTGTTGGTAGTTTTTAAAAGATGAAATGGACATGGGTGCCTCCTTAACCTGGCACATAACTGTTTATGATGCAACGATACTCTCCCACCTTAATTAGAGTGGTACCACCATTTTACATTGTACAGCACATTAAAACATAGCACTTCATAATAATTACAAATACAGTAAACAATGTTTCTCGTTAATTTTGGAGCTTTCGTGACTGCAGGAATTACTCTTGGTTCTTTCGGTAAAGTCACGTATAAAGATAAAATAATAAATTAAATAATACCTGATGATGATTGCTTGTGTTGCAATCGAAACGTCGTATGCTGTTATTTAATTTATTATTTTATATTTATACGTGACTTTACCGAAAGAACCAAGAGTAATGTTTCTCGTTATCTGTAAACAACATTGCTACCTACCGCAATGTCCTGTCTCACCCATTACCTTCATCATGAAACCAGATGCAACAGCAAATTCTCATAATGAGCCCTATGAACGAAACTCCCTACCGTGGGCGTCGAGGTGTGATACCCTGGCTTGTCAGGAGAGGGCAGTAGAACACAAATGTCGACTCTACCTGTTCCACCTGTATGGGACAGAGTATTGTCCCCCTCGAAAGTGTGGGGTCTGTCTGGGGGCTCCGGTTCCTTCCAACATGTAAACGCTCAAAATGTTGTAATAGGTTTTTACCCTTTCAACTGGTACAAAACTGACACCTTTATACAAGGCATCATGTTTGCAATAACCACAACACAAGCAGTCAAAATGCAAACAAAAAGAAACAACTCTGATGATGATAATGATATGCACTGTCCTTGAAGTTGATTGGTCCACACCCGAGACAGCTTTTCTTAGAGCCTAGTCTCCATTGGTGTTGGACCAGATGACGCCAAAAGGCGTACAACTCAAAAACAGCGCACTATCAGAGTATTGAGAGCTCGGAGTAAGCATTTACACTATGAGACATCTTTACCAGTGGCGAAATATAGTAATAGATTTTTACCCTTTCAACTGGTACAAAACTGACACCTTTATACAAGGCATCATGTTTGCAATAACCACAACACAAGCAGTCAAAATGCAAACAGACTGCTTGTGTTGTAGTTATTGCAAACATGATGCCTTGTATAAAGGCGTCAGTTTTGTACCAGTTGAAAGGGTAAAAACGTATTACTATATTTTGCCACTGGTAAAGGAGATGTCTCATAGGTTCAAAATGTTGTTGATAATACCTTGATATATACAAGACCGCAGAGCTTAGGCATCTGTTGGCGCCTCCTCATCACTTGGTTGACTTCCTGTTTGTGTTCTTGGTTCTTTCGGTAAAGTCACGTCGAAGGGAAATAATAAAATAATAAAGATTAAACGTAATAAAATAACATTCTCACGACGTTTCGGCCACAACGCAAGCAGCCGTCCTCAGGTGAAGAACAGGGCTGTCAGAAAGACAGCGTCCGAATCTTTCCGACAGCCCTGTTCTTCACCTGAGGACAGCTGCTTGGGTTGTGGCCGAAACGTCGTGAGAATTGTATTTTATTATGTTTTATTTTTATTATTTTATTATTTCCCTTCTACGTGACTTTACCGAAAGAACCAAGAAGATGAATCCCTGCAGTCACGAAAGTTTTAAATCGAAATTTTCTGTTTGTGGTTCCTCGTACCTCTGAGTAATTTTCTCTTTATATTACTGAGTGATTACTGTGCATGTTATAAGTTGATATTATTATATTTCTCAAACCCAATATGCAGGTCATGTTTCATCATCATTCCCCTGGGAGAAATTTTAATTTGGTTTTACATGATAAAAATCCTAAACTATTGTAAAACACAAGTCCCCGAGTTCATGAAGCGAGCCTAAGCATTGACCAAGAAGTGGCAGGGAAATAACCATTGACGGTATCTTGTCTTGCAGCACCGACCTATTTGATCAATTCCAGGCCAACTCCACGATCTTTGCGCCGTCAACAATCAGGCTCTATGCAAGATCCCTGTTGACAGCCCTGGCAAAACTTAAGAAGGAGGCCATCATTTATGGCGACCTGAAGCCGGTAAGTAAATACAATAGCATACTGCGTCATTCATGGATTTGTGTTGCCTTGAGGCAACTGTGACGAAAGATGCCTCTCCCGTAACTCTAAAATTAAAAACCATACACCCTGCACCTTATACCGCATTGAACAACACGAATGTTTTTGTTTTCATAAATGTATGAAAATAATCGACACTCGTTTCAATCTTGGACATTGTCTATCTCTTCTTGCTCTCGAGCTCACTCTGCAGTTTATTTGAAGAGATTCTAATTTACATTCGTCACAATGACAACAGCTACAATTGGCCCAAAGTTAGACACATTTCTTACACGAGTAAAGGAGAGAACCACCTTAAACTGAATATGTAAAATGCAGTCTTAACTGGATGTCTAAACGGTAGGAGCTGCATGCCATGAACACATTTGAACGTTAACCACTATTGCCCTTTGTTATTTTTTTTCTAGGAAAACACCATGGTCAAAGACCATGCAACCGGCAACATCAGGATAATTGATTTTGGCGTGAGTGTCATGATGACGAAGCCAAGTGAGTGGCTTTACTTGTGTTTCCGTGCGAGGGTGTGTCTCTGTGTGTCTTTGTGAATCTTCGTCGATATACGAGTGGAGAGTGCTAGTGCAGCGGTTAGCGCAGTGCGCTACGCACCTGGCCGCCCTCAGTTCGATTCCCGCTCATGGCCGACACAAGTGACGATTATCTGAACCGGTGCTGGGTCCCCCCTAGGTCGACTCAGCCCCAACTTAGCAGCTAGTGCGGTGTGTAGTAAACATCGCCACTAGGGAGACAAAAGCAGCCGGGCGTAGTGCTGGCCACCCCACCCCCTCGTGTGCCGTGCCGGCCTTCATAGGTGCTCGTGAACAGCACTTGCCCCAACAGTCTGCTAAGGCTACACGGGGGATCTTTGTCTTATATGTGTGTTGGCACAGCAGGGGGCATAGTTGGTGCATCTGCCACTCATTTCGGTCCCATGACCTGTCGGTGAACCTTCGACACTTCAAGTGGCCTCAAAGTGCACCTGGCCTGGCACAGGCGCCGTGGTGACGTCACCGCCACTTAGTGGCAAATGGCGACTGTTATTCTTATGTATGTGCGTGTGGAAACGTGGCATGGTGAGCAGCACTGCAGTGCACTACAATCTCAGTGACTCGGTTTAATCCTCAGCCACAGAGGCCTTAATAGGTCATATAGGCCTTAATAGGTGCTTGCAAACAACTTTACCCAAAATTCAAACCATCTCTTGGAGTGCCACTCACGCTTTTCCAGTTTTGACCTAGTTGTAGAAAGATACACATTCAATTGCTGTATAGAATTATAAAGGTTAACATCCTATAACATGTTTTTTAAAATCCGCGTGCACTAAAAAATCTAAGCAAATAACGTGCATGATCTCCTCGCTCAATCAGTGCTATTCCTCTGTGTGTGGTGTGCAGTTTTCGGATTTTTCGGAACGTTCGAGTACATGGCTCCAGAGATATTACTGGGCCTCGAACTCACCTGCGCAGTGGACATGTGGTCTCTGGGCTGCATAATTGCCGAGCTCGCTTCTGGGGAGAAACTTTTCACGGCAACAGGAAATCCAATTGACCAAATGATCACGGTACCTGAAATATGGCAAAATATAATCTCATTATTTATGATTTTGAAGCCTATGGCTTAGTTTTAGTTGAGCCGGCTCACACTGCTAATGCTGAGTGATGGTCCATTAGTCGCTAACAACGATATAGGAGACTGCCCTGGATTGCAATACACGGTTCAAGTAATCTGTGGAGCAATCATACTTTTGGCCTCATTCCATGGGAACAAATGTTGCTCTGCTGCCAGTATGTACATAGAGAATAGACATATCTTTAATGTGATCAGACACTAGTTGGACACGTATGATGTGATTTGGCCTTGGTCATAATAACTCAGAGTGACAGACTTTTACCCTTTCCATTCTTCGGGTTCATTGTTCGTCCCGAAGGTTCCTGAAGTCAACTTCAAAGGGCAATATTTGTTAATTAAGTACCCAATACAAATTAAATCTATTTGGCAGTGGTGTAAAAGGATGTGCAGTTCTTGGGAATAAACGTTTCAGTTTTATAGACCTTTACATTTGAGGAAGTCTACTGTATGTATGTTTACGATACACACAGTCCAATGACCTAACCCATGTATATTAATTTCATTGTGACCTGTGCACAGATTCTTGGTCTCCCACCCAGTCCTATGATTGATGCTGCGACCAGAATGCACATTTCCACGGGTGAGTGGGAGGGCAGGTTGCTACTTCTGTTGTCACAATTATTCAGGCAAGCATTGTCGTAATGTACTTTGTTCTTCTTCTTGGTTCTTTTGGTAAATCACGTAGAAGGGAAATAATAAAATAATAAAAATAAAACATAATAAATAATTCTCACGACGTTTCGGCCACAACGCAAGCAGCCGTCATCAGGTGAAGACCAGGTCTGTCTTCCCAACAATACAAATTACAGACCTGGTCTTCACCTGAGGACGGCTGCTTGCGTTGTGGCCGAAACGTCGTGAGAATTATTTTATTATGTTTTATTTTTATTATTTTATTATTTCCATTCTACGTGACCTTACCGAAAGAACCAAGAAGATGAATCCCTGCAGTCACGAAAGCTTTAAATCGAAATGTACTTTGTTCTTATTCCTCGGAACTCGTTTCACTCATTTTCTCTCCAACACAGACAAGAATGGGTGCCACAGGGTGGACGGCAGGAAGGTCTTTCCAAACACCTCCTCTATTGAGAAAAAGCTTTGGAATACGAACAGAGAGATAATCGATTTCGTCGAAGGATGCCTTGAGTAAGATATAACTGCACTGTCTACATATTATCTTAATTCATAATTATTTTCGTGTTCACCATCAGCACTTTCATAAAAGAGTACACACTACTAAGAGTGATGTATGTTTTACTGACAGGAAGTGGCTTTGTGTCATAACAGGGCAATATTTCTGGCCTTGTGCCTTCTTACATTCGTTAGCACAATGAATGTAAATAATTGCATGTGCCACACCTAGAAGAAATGTAGACGGTAACTGAACCCTGACGATTCCCCGTTTATATCTTGGCAGGTGGGATCCCGTTCGCCGGCTCACGCCTGAAGAGGCTTTGAGCTACACGTGGATTCAGGATGGCACCGAGGTCGAAAGCCACGCTAGTCACAATGAACCGGATGCAGTGGACGCATCGATTAAAATGGACGAGATCGTGGAGGTGGATCGTGTGAGCCAATGCGAAAAGGGAAGGACGAATTATTCTGGGTTAGATCTCGAGGAAGATTTCGTGTCATCCAAGAGCCGATTGTGAGTCTCCACGTGCATCTTGAAGAATATTTGTGTCGGTTAAGTTCTCATGAAGTGACTTTGATGTTTTTCCCTGCTCCAATGAGCTTAGAGAAAACAATAATTTCGCTCTGCATTCAGATCTCATTAAGAGGTTGCTCCTTCTCCTCTGCCGTCTGGAACTGTCCTTCCCCAGCCATCTTCATTGTTGACTTCATGCTCTTGTTCAACTCTAGGCTCCAGATCTTCCTCTTCTCCTCTGCCTATGACTCTAGAAAATAATCAGAATATGTATTTATACTGGAGGAATTCGATAAGCTATGAAGCTCTTTTTCACGGATGTCCAGTATAATGTCCAGCAGTACTGGACATAATTCTTACATTGGTCTTCATTTATAGATTGGCCCCTGCTATGGGAATGGGGAATTCCCACCACTCTGCTTGATCGTTTGGGGTAGCGATAGGGGTAGGGGCAGTGATGTACTTGACATCTGTGAGAAGGAGCTTTATAGGTCATAATATTCCCACAGTCTAAATCAATATTCTGATTCTGAATATATTCTGATAGGGGTAGTCCTGGTTGTGGCCGTGGGGCAGGGCAGGGAGTAGTCGTAGGATAGATAATGGAATTGTATTGCAGTAGGAAAGTTTCAGCACAAATAATGAAAGACAGACAGAGGCATAACAGTGGCACTTACAACTCTCTTTCAGCTCGAACGCCAGTTCCCACACTACCCTGGAATACCAGCACAGCAGCACGAACGGCAGTTCCCACACTGTCATGGAACACCAGCGCAGCAGATCGAACGGCAGTTCCCACACTGTCATGGAACACCAGCGTAGCAGATCGAACGGCAGTTTCCACACTGTCATGGAACACCAGCGCAGCAGATCGAACGGCAGTTCCCACACTGCCCTGGTGGAACACCAGCGCAGCAGATCGAACGGCAGTTTCCACACTGTCATGGAACACCAGCGTAGCAGATCGAACGGCAATTTCCACACTGTCATGGAACACCAGCGCAGCAGATGGAACGGCAGTTCCCACACTGCCCTGGTGGAACACCAGCGCAGCCATCAAGCGACAAGTGAAGCTGTCGCCAACACCGGAACGAAGGCATCGAGGGGGCCTGGGCGGAGATTTGCACGAGTGCGGCAGCGACTCCGGACATTTCTTAGATTTGTCCGGAAGCATTGCTGCTGCAATGCGGAAGAGTAAAGGCCCCCATCATTGGCGCAGCCCACCACTCCAGTACAGTGGAGGTAAGGGTTGGTGGATCACTCCGTTTCCCGTGGACGCCGTATTCTGGCTTGCCAGGAGAAGGCAGTACAACAAAAATGTGGACTCCACCTCTTCCGTCTGTATGGGATTGAGTGTTTCCGCCTCGCATGTGTAGGGTTTTTTTCTTTCCGGATCCCCAGTTTCCTCCAACATTTAAAGCCACTCATTATTTGGCCGATAACACCTTAACGTATCGAGCTTGGGGATTACATTCAAAAATAGCTCAGCTCTTATTTTGAGCTTGTTAACAGAAGCTCAGCTCTTGCGTAATACATTTAAATCTTTCAGCTAAAGTGCAATCAACAAGATAAATGTTCAATTTCAGAAACAAACCAAAGATCTATATTGTAAAGGAAAAGGATTATTTTGTCTAGGAGTTCAGTTTATTGTAAGCTATTTATTTCATAACAATCGGAATGTCTAATTAACATAGCTTAAAAATACATGATCATCCTGAGGAAATGTATGTTAACATTCCGTCACCCCAAAACATATTTTCTACCAATTTTACATGGAGAAGATAAATCCAAATTTGTGTTGCACTGCATCCAGCTGGCTGCTTCTCTCGTCCGTGTTCCACTCGCTTGTCGCACTGTGTCATGCAGCACCTTGAGACACGACTTGGAGACCTGCTGTGTGTCTTGAGTGCTCTGTCCCTTGATGACCCATGCTTCCCCTGGGTTTGTGCCCGGAACAGGTGACACCACCGGGGGATGTCCACACCTGGAATGGAAGAGACGGGGACCCGACCCCAGACCTCAAGACATGGCCATCCTGCAACCTCTCACCACACCATCTGCACACACCCCACACACACACACACCACCCACACACACACACACCACCCCATACACACACACACACACCACCCACACACATCACACAACCCACACACACCCCATCCATCTACACACATCACGCACCCACCCACCCACGCACACGCCACCCACCCAGACACACGCCACCCACCCACCACACACACACACACCCCACGCATACACACACCCAACGCATGCACACACCCCACCCACACACCACCCACCCACATACACACATCACGCACCCACCACCCATGCACACTAACCACCCACCCATCACCGACCAATAACACCCCCCCCTCCTTTCTCTTGACTCACTGTTACTGAAATAGCTAAGGATGTTTTTAACTCGTATATAATAACTGTATATATATTAGTTTAGTTTCACCGTGTATTGAATTTCGAGGAAGACCGTCACAATGACAGTATTAATGCGGAAGATTTAAATGTGCAATATGTCTTGCTTTCATGAAAGTTTGCAAACAAGCCTCGTGTTCAATATTTTGTAAATACAAATTTTTCAGTATTTTGTAAATATATATTTTTCATTTGTAGTAATGTTTTTTGGCATTTATGGTTTTGTTGGAACGTTTATGAAGATTGTTGTACTTGCTTGCACCACACACACACATACACCCCACGCATATACACACCATTCACATAACAAGCACACCCCACACACACACCATGCTTGCACTCCACGCACACGCCACACACACCACGCACACATACACCCCACACATACTCACTCTGCACACCCTATGCACACATCCCACACAAACACTCCATGCACACACCACACAGACACCCTACAAACAGACACACACCCCATGCACACACCACACACCCCACGCACACATACACACACCACGCACACACCCCATGCACAGACACAACATGCATTCACCCCATGCACAAACCCCGACTAGCGCTTAGGTCAACTCGAACACACAAACCGAACCTCTCCACCTGCGTTTTCATCCCGGCAACCTAGCGAGTGACCTGGCCATGGGTTTCCCATGTGAGAGAGAATTGGCAAAGTTCGGTGTGAGATGGAGACTCCCGGACCCTGTGGTAAAACATGGGTGAGTTTGACGCGAGACCACCTCCAGGATAATCCGGGTAGCATATGATGGTGCACCCAGATACACGAGCACTCAAGGGGGGTAAGTTAGAAAGGGCAGGTCGTGTTGGAATGAAATAAAACTGTTTTCCTGAGACAGACGGTGCGAGTGGGAGAATGGCGAGTGTGGCCTGGGTGCATCATCAACACATCGCGCATCTAAAATTATCCCTGATTATGACAATAGAAACCGCTGTAAGTGTATCAAAGTGTGGCATTGACATTGTGTGCATGTTGAGTAGAAGGAATAGTCGCAGACTCATCAAGGGGGTACTCGTACTACTCGCCTCGTCGAGCGGCATCAAAATATATGAGTGGTTAAGCTGTGGGAAGTGAAATAGACGAGCGACCAATAAAACACTATGTAATATGGGGGTGACGGTTTTTTGCTATTCTCAAAATAATACACATGCAGTCATGCAAATATCTGATTTAACACAGCACAGCAAAACCAGTTTCACCATTCAATTCCGCTCGTCCAGGCGAGTAGAATTCAATTACATTGATTCGATGCGACGTTTCTTATGGGATATAATAAGCGACAACATTTGGACCCCAAACGAAGAGGATTCTGGGATGTTTGTGGTTTTTTGACAATAACTCTGGATGGAATAGTCGCAGACTCATCAAGGTGGTACCTTTTAACGTAGCGGCCGTCACGTAGTTCACTTTCATCGACCATATCGAGATGAGCACTGCAGTCAGGATCACGGCAGATGTTGTGTACGTGGAATGGTGGTGCTGTTATTTTTACTGTTATTTTATTTCAACCACGTCAGTCCCGCTGAGCTACACAGCGCTTTTATAAGAAGCGACCTGGCCACAGATGATAGCTCAACAAAGTGGCTTCTCGCGTGGACATTTAGAGCACCAAATATTCTCAACACGTCGACTCTAAATGTGGATGGGAACACCGCAGCACCGGGAGAGAAATCCACGCGACCACGTGGAGAGAGACACCGCAGACTCCACATCTAGAGCAGCAGCAGCAGCAGCAGGCGTCGGGGTCGAACCCACGACCTCCTGCACACCGGGCGAGGTAGTTAACATCTCCTAGCCACCGTGGCGACCCGAAGCCTTCATCCAGCAGTGGACTGCCAACACGGCATGGGGCATCACTGCGGGTCTACAAAGGTACCTGGTTGGAGGATGTGGAGCTGAGTGGACTTGCCGATGAGCGCTACCGGCGGTGTCAAGATCGGCCTCTGTGGAGGAGGAGGCTCGTGAGGGACGCTCACAACAACGAGCGGAGAGGCGGGCGGCTAAAACGCGGCGAGTTGGCACAGCTGGTGGCGTCTGCAGCCATCTCGAGTCGGTCAACCCCATGGCACCTGCAGGGTTCTGTCCCCGTGACCTCCTGTCAGCGAGCCTTCGACACTTCGCGTGGCCTAAGAGTGCACCTAGCCTGGCACCAACGCCGCGGAGACGTCTGCTGCTGCTGTTGTTGTTGATGCCGCTTGTGTGGACTGTCCTACTGTACGTTGACTTCGATGATTTTCCGTGGGGGAGGTGGGACCAGCGATGGACGAGTCCAAGTTGGTGTCTGACAGGGGGGCGCGGGAGCCCCACGTGGACAGACCACCCCGACACAGCCGCATGCCTGCCAGGCTATTTTGCCGACGCCGGAGGCTCTGCGCAGTACTACGCCTCCACACCCCACCCGTGTCAAGCGACGACTTTGTCGTATAAAGTCCATATACCCAGCGTTGCCCGGCCGGACAATACATTTTAAATCTTACAAAATCTTTTAAACATTACATACCAATGACAAAACTACTGTCTAATTACTTTTTAACCCCACGCTCAAAAAATAAATTATTTCAAAGTTTACTGTGCAAATAGTCATTAAGCTGGATGAGCGGACTGCCAGTATATAACGTGCACTGTTGCCTCATTATTACATTGCGTCAGTGCACTGCGAGTATATAATGTAGACTGTAGCCTGCTTATTAAGCTGCCTCAGTGTACTAACAGTCTATAATGCTGACTGTAACCTGCTTATGAAGCACAGTGGGTGTACTGCCAGTCTATAATGTTGCCTGTAGCCTGGTTCTTTTATTAAGTTAGTAGATTGCTAACACTTAGGCTTTCGCTAACATTATTCATAAACACCGTAATTCTGTTTAGATCGCCTTCTTTATTCACGTGCTGTAACACTCCAACCACCCGACACGGCCAATCAGTAAAAAAGTGTCCCGTTGATTTAAATATAATAGTTCACTGCTTTAGGCCACCGGTGTGTTCAAGCGTTAAAACACAACAATTACCATGTGTCATGCACAAAAAACTATCATTCTGTTTTAAACACACGCACCAATCATCGATTCTTTCAATGCTCCGTCTACAAATAGTCCTTCACATCAGGTACATGCATCTAACTTTCACCTCCTCTTCACTCCCCCCCCAACACAATGTGTGAAATTTATATTATACGGTCCCTACATAATTACATTATACCCATTACACTGCATTATTGTTGCACGGGGGGGGGGGGGTAGGGGACGACACCCGTAGCCAGCCGCATGCCTGCTAGGCAATTTAGGCGACGCCGGAGGCTCTGCGCAGTACTACGCCTCCACACCCCACCCGTGTCAAGCGACGACTTTGTGCTATTAACTCCATGTACCCAGCCTTGCCCGGGGCCAAAATACATTTTATATCGTATGAAAACTTTAAAACATTACAGAGCAATGACAAAACAACTGTGTCATTACTTTTTAACCCCATGTGCCAACAATCTATTCTTTAAATGTTCACTGTACAAATAGTCATTCACCTGGGTGAGCGAACTGCCAGTATATAATGTACACTGTACCATTCTCATTCAATTGGGTGACTAAACTGCCAGTCTATAATGTAGACTGCAGCCTGCTCATTACGCTGCCTCAGTGTACTGACAGTCTATAATGTACACTCTTGCCTACTTATGAAGATGAGTGGGTGTACTGCCAGTCTATAATGTTGACTGTAGCCTGCTTCTTAAGTTAAGTTAGTCATTTTGTAACACGTAGGCTTTCGCAAACATTATTAATAAACACCGTTATTGCCTTTAGATCACCTTATTTACTAATGTGTTGTAACACTCCACCACCCCACACGGCCCAATCAGTACTAAAGTGTCCCGTTGATGAAACAATCATAGTTCACTGCTTTACGCCACCGGTGTGTTCAAGCGTTACAACACTACAATTACCATTTAGGATTGGAAAACAAATGTATCATTATGTTTAAACCCCACGCACCAATAATCGATTCTTCACATCTTCACTGTACTCATTGTCATTCAGCTGGGTGAGCGTACTGCCACTCTATCATGTACACTGTAGCCTGCTTATTAAGCTCGGTGCTTGTACTGCCAGTCTATCATGTACACTGTAGCCTGGTTAATAAGTAAAGTCAGTCATTTTGTAACACGTACGCTTTGCCAAACATTAATAACAAACAACCTTATTGCCTTTACATCGCCTTCTTTATTAATGTGTTCTAACCCTCCACCACCCCCCACGGCCAATCACTAAGAAAGTGTCCCGTTCATAAAAGACTAATAGTTCACTGCTTTAGCCCACCGGTGTGTTCAAGCGTCAAACCACGAAAATTACCATTTCAGAGTAGGACGTTTCGCTTATGCTCGAGATGACCATCGAGATGACCATTGAGATGACCATTGAGCTGATCATGGAGATGATCATGGAGATGACCATCGAGGTGATCATCGATATGATCATGGAGATGACCATCGAGATGATCATAGAGATGACCATGGAGATGACGATCGAGATGACCATCGAGATGATCATGGAGATGATCATGGAGATGACCATCGAGATGATCATAGAGATGACCATGGAGATGACGATCGAGATGACCATCGAGATGATCATGGAGATGATCATGGAGATGACCATCTAGATGATCATGGAGATGACCATGGAGATGACCATCGAGATGATCATGGAGATGACCATGGAGATGACCATCGAGATGATCGTGGAGATGATTATGGAGATTGACATGGAGATGACCATCGAGATGACCATGGAGATGACCATCGAGATGACCATGGAGATGATCATCGATATCATGGAGATGACCATCGATATCATCATGGAGATGACCATGGAGATGACGATCGAGATCACCATCGAAATGATCATGGAGATGATCATGGAGATGATCATGTAGATGACCATCGAGATGTTCATGGAGATAAGCATGGAGATGACCATCGAGATGACCATCGATATGATCATGGAGATGATCATGAAGATGACCATCAAGATGACCATGGAGATGACCATCGAGATGACCATGGAGATGATAATCGATGTGAAAATGGAAATGACCATGGAGATGATGATGGAGACATGATAATGGAGATAATCATAATTGAGATGATCATCGACATCATAATGGAGACGATCATAGATATGATAATGGAGATGATCATCGAGATGATCATGGAAATTACCATCGATATATTCATGGAGTTGACAATGGAGATCATGAAAATGACCATGGAGATCATGGAGATGGCCCTCGAAATGACCGTGAAGATAATGGAGATGATCATAGACATGATCATCAAGATGGCTATCGAAATGATGACCGTGGAGGTGACCACAGATGATCAGAGGTGGCCTTCAATGAGATGACTATCGAGGTGATGACCACGGAGGTTTAGGCTCTCGGTATCGCCCCTCCACCACCTCCGCCCCGCCCCCCTCCACACGTGGCCACGCGTGGCCGTGTATGCGCACGGGCGCGTGTGGCTGTGTCGCTCTGTACACGTGTGTTCGTGGCGGCATCGTCGTCCGTCATCTCAGCGCTGTGATCGTCGCCGTAGCCCGTCGCCGCTCTCGTGCCGTCTCGTGTTGTCCGTCCGTGTGTGCGTCTCTCGTGTTCTCCAAGCGCCTCTTCTTTTACACCACGATCGCTCTCGCCCTCAATGATTATGAAACGCGCGGGGCAGGGAGGTGGGTTTTATACCGTCGACGCAAAACGTTTCGAGGGCGTGGTATCGTTTAGCTGTAGGAGCTTGGGTGGGATAGGGGGTTGTTTTTTTTAATCGATTATGATGATTACGACGATGGTAACGATGATGGGTTTTGTTACACGAAGGCTGCGTGCGCTCAGCACCAGAAATGGGGTTAAGGGGGGGGTGTATAGGTTTTTTTTTACAGACGGCACTTCCAAAAATAACGTGTTCTCTCGTCTGTGTTTTGTACATATTCTGTTTCGAATAAAAAGTACACACGCGTCCCGCAGAGTCTGTCGTCGTGGTGGTGGCTGACACGGTCGCATCGCAAGGCTCCTGTTGCTCACTCCTCCTTGATGGTCATTCCCAGGCGTGGCAGCACGCTGCTGTTTGGCCGTCACGAGTCGTGGAACCAATTTTGAATTCACGAGCAATTTATTTTTAACACGCGACAGGACGCCGCTTTCCGCACGGACGGGCCGTTGTATTTTTCTAATTTGGTAAATGATAGTAAAAAACATCTATCTTAATTTCAAGAGCCGCCATGCCACGTGAATACAAGACGGTGGGTCCTTAATAAATAACGGCACGAAGCGGTCGCTTAAAGAGCTGCAAGTGGCTTCAGGAGACGCAGGTTTGCCCGATCCCTTGACGTCGACGAATATGACCTCGCAACTCTCTTGCATGGAAGAAAACGAGAAATACACGTTCCCAAAAGGCTTTCAAGAGGGGGACACACGAATGTTCACGGCTAATCCCCCATTACAGGGGGCAACATCGGAGAGTTCTGCATGGTGTAGCCAACGCTACCCTCGCCAACATGCGGAGACAGGGAAGGGTTCCAGTCAATTGTTTCCACCTTCACCGTCACACACAGCTCCCTCCTTCACACACAACTCTCTCCTCTTCATCCACAGCTCTATGCTGCTGACGGGCCCTCGTCACCCCCATGGCCTCCTCTCCCATTCCCTCCCTTTAAACGCACCGCTTTGACATTGGCGTTTATTGCATGTTTCGGTGGAATTTATCCGAATGAGGTGTAAATCCTGATTCTAATATGTATACACATTTGATGGGTGCAGTCATTGTTAGCTGGGCCAAAGCCATCCACTCGTTAAACTCGAGAACCCGGTTCAATCACAGGCAGTGGCTGCAGCCCTCACTCCAACCCACGGTGTCAGTGGCGCCGGCTCGGCGCTAGGACCTCTGAGCTGCCCCAACCTCCTCGTGGCATCTCGAGCGGTGTGCCGCCACAAAGTTGTGCTAATTAGCAGGACCGACTCTTTGGTTCGGAGTGCCGTGAAGATCGAGCGAGCTCGAAAGTCTCCCGTTGGAACGAAAGGGGTTGAGACATCGCTGCTA